TAATCTTTTTAAAGCAACTCAAAATTTTTAGCTACGGGTGACAACATTAGGTAAACATTAACCTCAGAAGTAATTAGTCGGAGGCACCGACACACATATTGTTACTTCATCTACATCTATATTATATATTAACTAAAAAAGGTCTTAGGTTGGTGGGCGTTTCAATATTCCAATTTAAATTTTTTAATTTTTATTTAAAAAAATTTAACATTCATTGATTTGGTCAAAATCTTCTGATCAGTATTTATTAAATTTTTTCAATTCATATGCCTGCATTTATTGATTTAATCAAAATCACCTGATCAGTATTTAAAATCCCCTTATACAAATAATTATAGATACAATCTGTATATAGTTATTGCAGTATCCTTTTCAACTTCTCCCATACATTATAGTTAGTGATAAGATTACTAAATTATTTTTATAAAAAAAAATTAAGAAATATAATTTATATATTAAAAAAAATCTAAAAAAAACTAAGGCCTTGTTCGGTTTGTGTTTCTCAAAAAAATTTAGGAAAAATTCTCTACAAATAAGTTTTCAAAAGTAATCAAACCAAATAAACATTTCCAATTTTTTTTTTAAAACTTGTTTGGTTTATAAATTTTCCAAACAAATCTATCTCTCATATACATCAAATCAATCACTTTTTTCAAAACTCTCTCTCAAAATAATTTTTCAAAATATCTTTTGAAAAAAAACCAAACTAAATAAATTTTTATACTTTTTATCTCAAAATATGTTTCTCAAATACAAACCAAATAAAGCCTAAATATTTATAATTATTCCATGCATATAACACGGTTAATAAATTAATTAATTTGTTACAAAGAATTGCAAAATTGCATACCACTCTTCCCACTTGATGTGGGGCCTTGACAAATGACTATTCTTTTTTTTCACAAATGACAAATGACTATTCACCTACTAAACCTTTTCCAGATGTGACATGATGGAAGGTTTGTGCGGGATATATCATTGTTATTAATTCAGTAATATTATAAATTTAGATTTAATTATTTAAAAATTATTTATAACAATCATTGTATAATTTAAATTTATTTTACATATAAATTTCACACTAAATAAATTTAATTTTCATCACATAATCAATCTTCCAAATGTTTTTTGAATGAATATGTTTGATATATTAAATAGTTATATATATATGTTTATAAAAAAAAACTTGAGATTTACATGATATTTGTAAAAATCTTACTTTTGGGGCCCAATAAAAGAAAAAATTATTAGGTCAAGTTTGGCATGCCCTAAGGTCAAGTTTGGCATACACAAAATAATTCATTTTTTTATCTTTTTATCTTTTTTTCATCACATTATCTCTCTACTTTTCTGCACATCTTTTCGTAAAAAGACAAAAAGTGCACTTATTTAGGTCATCTCAAACAACCCCTAAATAATATAAAAAGTCAAAAAGTCACTATCCTATTTAAGTCACATTATCTTATTTAAATCACATCACCTCTTTAACACATCACATCAAACCCAACCCAAACCCATATAAGCCAATAAGTCAAAAAGTACACTTTTTTAGAACATCCCAAACCAACCCTTAGTATGTTATGTGGTATTCACTTAAAAAATACTTTTTGTAAATAAAAAATGAAAAAATTACTTATTAGTAGTGCTATAATTTGTATAAAATTTACCATTTATCTGTAATTCTTTTTAAAAATTTATACTCAGATTCTCTATAAAAAATTACCAAACATATTAGATTAGTCATCTCAATCATCTAACCAAAAAAAAAAACTAACATTGTTACAATTTCACATCAATTAAGGGCTTGTTTGGGATATAGATTGACTTTTTAACTTTTCGGTTATTTTAACATGAGATTAAAAAGTCTCGTTTAGAATAATATTTTTTATTTTTTGACTTTTGTGAAAGCAAAAATAAAATGATTATAATTTAAAAATAATATTTTATCGTATTGGGTTAAAAAATTTAATGTCTTTTTATGATTATTTTAGTCAAAAAATCTCATTTTAACTTATGCTAAACAAAAGCTAAGGGCTGGTTTGGGATACCCAAAAAAATTTAAAAAGTCAAAAAGTTACTAAAAATATTAAAAAGTTAACATTATTCACAAAAAAAAAAATTTACACACAAATTATTACAACACAGTCTGAACCGTCCCACAGACGGTTGCTGAAATGATTTGGAAAAATTGCACAGGCGGAGAGCACAAACAACACAGTGTTGTTCGGACCGTGGGGCCTATCACGGGTCCCGTTTTGATAATCTGAACCGTTTAATATGTAGAACTCGTCGAGTACTATATGTCTGTAAAAAATCACGTTGATCGAATATCGCTAACTTTATGATTAAATCAGTTTTGTATAAAAAATGGATGGTGTTATAGTTAACGGTTGGGAAAAAAAAAAACTAATCCAATCAGATAGCTATCGATATCTGATTAACGTGATTTTTGACAAGCATATAGTACTCAATCTACACATTGAACAGTTCAAATTATCAAAACGGGACCTGTGATGGCCTCCACAGACCGAACAACACTGTTCAATGCAATGCCCAAAAAGTAGGTAACAATTTCTTATCATCAATTCACTCCCCTAGATGGTACGGTCTACTGCCTACTATCCTTATCTTCTCTTACACATTAATTTATACAAATTTTTATTTTTTTTTTTTTTTTTTTTTTTCTTTTTTCCTAAGAAAGTCTAAATTTTTTTTTTTTAATCACATTTTGTTTATAAATTTTGTTAAAGAATGCCTAAAGGCAACTGTTAACAATGCATAAAATTATATATTTTTACATGTACTTTCATAAATAATCGATTATTATTTCAAGAATATTAACAAATGTTTTGAGGACACTCGTTAACAAAATTCTTTGGTGATAAGTGGAAGTGATGCATCAACAATAAAGGGAAATAATTAAATGTTATCAGTACGACTTATGAGACTTATATGAAACTTATAATCCACAGTATCGTCCTCCTAGCCTAGTCTTATTGGACTCGAATAATTTTGTACATAAACAATCGAGAATTAATCATTGGAGACCCTGATGAAATTAAAGACCAAACAAATCTCCAATGAATCATTTAAAAACTTGAACTTGAGACCTTAGATCTTATGTTCAAAACTCGAATTGAGACATCAAAACCTCATCAATCCTATTAACACGCGCCTGTCTCAATCAACATTAGTCGCTTTTGCACCAAAAGCCAATAGGAAAAGCTTGCTTGGTAGTGTTTTTTCAAAAACACTTTTCAGAAAATTCTATTTTCTTATTTTTCGTGTTTTCTTGTTTTTACTGAATTTTTTTAATATTTTAAGCAATTTTTTTTTTTACTTTTTAGACATACCTGACATAAATATACTAAAAAGTAAAAAATTTGTGAAAAAAACCTTTTAAAAATTCACTAAATACCAAAAATATAAAAAAAATACGAGAATTCAGTACATTTTTTGTATTTTTATGTATTTATTAAATTTTTAAAATATTTTTTCACAATTTTTTTACTTTTTAGATACATCTAAGTGAAGTGCATCTAAAAAAGTAAAAAAAATGTTTAAAATTTTAAAAATATTCACTAAAAATAAAAAAATATGAAAACCAAAAAACTGAACTTTTAAAAAATTTAATTCAAAAAACTCAATCCAAACCACTCACCATTTTAATTGATATGCCTGATTTTCCAATGAGATGGAAAGTTACATATGAGAACATCTATTCTTCATATCGATCATTTCAAGGGGTCATTAAATTCTTGTTCTTTATTTTATTGAGAAAATAAAATTGATTTGGATCTTCCCCAATCACCCTATTGATTATGCTAATTATACAATATTTGAACAACAATAAATCAGAGATCCTCCTTTGATGTTATATTCGTCTTTTCAAATCCAGATTCCAGTGGAGACTAGAGAGAGAGAGAAGACTACTTCCCCATTCCTCAACTAGACAAGGCAATGATGAGACAAAAATATACTAAAGTTAGAGTTTTTATTTTATTTAATTTTATTTTAAAGAAAAGAAAAGAGAGGAAAGCAGATCATATATGTCTGAGAAGAGCAAGGATCCTCTAGAGTGATTTTTCCCTAAAGTTTCCTAAAGTGCTACAGTGTATGGTTTAGATTTACTGGCAAGTCACATCAATTTTTCTGATGTGACTTGTCAGTAAATCTCAACCACACAATATAGCACTCTAGGAAACTTTAGGAAAATTTCACTCTAGAGGATCCTTGGTGGTCTGAGAAAGAACAGATCACAAAGAAACAGCTGGAAAAGTTGAGCAGAACTTGTTCTAACAGAATTGAGCACATTGGTACTATCACCAGACCAACTTCTTCTACTCCAAGCAAACCTTAAAGTACAAATACATACATATACAGCTATCCATGTCTATATCTATATACAAACTACATATAAATGTACTACATTATTATTTCTTCACTCTCTTGTCCGTCATCTATTACACCCACTATTAGGTACACCCCCATTGAATCAGCTTTTACATCAACAGCTCAATCAAGTGGGTAGAAGTGATAAATGCTTAAAATTTCAATTTAAAGTTAATGGTGCTGTTTAATGCGGCTTATTGTAAATTAAAAATTGATAATCAAAAAGTAGAAATCAAAAGTATTCATTCCCCAGCTTTTAAATTATCAGCTTTTCTCAACTTATTTAAGTTATTTCTGACTAAAAAATTGTAAGCAGAAACTGCACCAAACAATCTGACACAGATTCTCAAATTAAAATAAGATATAATCACCCGTATAATCCACCAAAATGTTGTGTGGTGTGAACTATATTGACGGAATAATTTTACTCTGCACATTTTAAAATTTTGATATACATAATATTGTTGTGAGTTTAATCAATTTTTACACAACACCGAAAGGTTCGAGTTTTGCTTGTGGTAAGACTTGAGAACAAAACTAGTGGAAATTCCAAAGCAATGTACTACAATTACCAATAATATGAATCTAATTCCAAAAAACTAAAGGCATTAATTGATCTCTTCACAAAAGTGAAAGAAACATCTATAATTATAAAAACCCATTTAACCCAATTGCACAAAACAGCCTAATATGTTCTCAAATCATAACAATTGCCCAAAATATAATAAAAAAGAAAAAATAAAATAAAATAACCTGTGAACTATGTCAATGGCTATGAGAAAGGTGTCAATGCTTGATGAATTCAGCATCAGAGACAGCAGAGATCTCTAGTTGACTATGCTCATCATCATCATCATCATCACCTTCATCTTCCATTGGAGCTGGCAAGTTCAGATCTATCAAACTCTCTCCAAATTTACTAGCAGACTTTGATGAACTCAACAGGTGTGATCTCTTGTGCCCACCAAGTGCTTGACCCGAACCAAACACTTTGAAACAAACTGGACACTCATGAACCTTCTGATTCTGATCCACATTGTCTGCAATGCAGCTCTTGACTACCTTAGTATGACTCGTTCTGTGTCCACCCAGTGCCTGAAACGATCCGAACTCTTTCTTGCAAGTTTCACACTGGTATTTCCTCTGACTTGGCGGTCTCAACTCGCCCGAGTCATCCGAACTCCATGTGTCCCTCGAAAGCATCATCAAACACAGAGCAACATCTTCCTCAGTGGATGTATCCGAGACCGAACTCACCTGTTCCAACTCGGTCACCGACTCGATCGAACTGGGTTTTTTCAACTTGGGACTCTTCCGAGTCCGCTTGGATCGCCGGCGAGTTGGGTTTCTGGATGACTCGGTCTCGCTCTCTCTGTCTTGAACCACCGACCCTCCATCGAGAAACTTGGGATCTACTAATCTGAAGCTCCTTTTTGGGTTCTCTCTCAACCCATAAACCAGAGCTTTCTCTTCACTCCCCTCTCTCACTTGTTCTTCTTCTGAAGAAGAAGACAGAGATGAAGCTGACTCGGTAGGCTCACTGAGTTGTTGTGGCTTTTGGGTCTTTGGTGGAATCGGTAGGTTGGCCAAGTGAGACCTCATGTGACCACCCAAAGCTCTGCCATTGGCAAAAGCTTTAGAACAGAGCTTACACTTGTATCTCTCCATCAACACAACAAAAAAAGATAAAAAAGAAAAAAAAAACAGAGCAGACTCTGTTTCCTCCCTAAGATTTGTTTTGTTTGATTGTTTCTCTCTCTAAAAGATTGAGAAGATGGAGTGGGAACTTATAGAGGAGTGGGTGACAAGCATTCCTCTAATCTCCTCTCCTCTCTTCCCACCAAAAGCATTCCTCTAATCTCCTCTCCTCTCTCCCCACCAAAAAGACAGAGACAACCAAAAATGTGAATTTGCAAATATGAAATGGAAATGCTCGGGTGTATGATGTATATGTATGTAATTTTATTATAAAATTAAGTTTATTTTTATAAATTTATATAAGTGATAGTAGAAAAATATATAAATTAAGCATAAATTTGTACCAAGTATTTGAAATCACTTATTAAATTAGTGAAAAACTTACGTAATTTATTTTTGATAAGATTACATATAATGTACACTGGAGAATTTTCAGTATAAAATTTGTGGTATTAGAATTTGCATAGTTGTAAAATATATAGAAATGGATTAATTGTTCCATGGAAACGGCTAATGTCATTATTATTGTTATAATTTGGTAATAAATAATGTTATTTTATTAAATTATAGCAATAGTGCTCTAATGGTCATTTGCTATTTTGATAAATCTCAACCAACTTTTCCTCCGAATTTGTAGGTGTTGTTTGAATATAAGTTTTTTTGTGATTTTATTTTTGTTTATTTTTTGTCTTTTGTGACATTTTTTTACTTGTTTGTAAAAAAAAATTATATATTTATATTATTTCCAAGTAGACAAATATAAAAATGAAAAAAAAAATTAAAAATTGCCTTCATTTGAAAAAATATATTTATTTTTTTGCATTATACTATATTGAAAAATTTAAATTATAATACAAATTAGTCAAAATTATACATTGAAAAAATAATATTACATTGTTTTGTAGAAAATACTAGAAAATAAAAAAATAAAAAAATGAAATTTCATTACAAAATAAAAATTACATTGCAAATAAAGACTAACAATTACATTAAAAATGAAATGACATTGCAAAATTTAAAAATATATTATCTCGTAATTATTCATCAGGAGGCATAGGGAAATAGTAATTTGGGTTGTTGAAATTTGAGGACCACTTGGCGAAAATCTCAGGTTGCGTTTGGTAGAGCTTTGCAATTATGATTTGAGAGTATGAGTTGTATTTTGAGTTTGTGAGGTTTGAAATTATGATTTGAGTGTAGAAAATTTGTTTGGTAGAGAGTTTTGAAAATAGTTTTGAAAAGAGTTTTGAACTGAGTAGGGAATTGTTGATGTGACATTTGACATTTGATACAAAAATTTACAACTCATAACCAAAAAATTATTTTAAACCATATAAAAAATTTTAAAAAATTCAGAAAATATTTTTTTCTAATATATAAAAATTAACATATCAATTGTAAAAAAAAAAAAAAAAAAATTATAGTTTCGATCAACCGGCCGGACGATCGGCCGGACGTCCCGTTAGGCCAAATTTTGAAAAAAAAAATTGAAAATCGAGCTCGGTTTTGACAGAATACACAGAGCTTTCTGCAGAGTTGTGGAAAATTAATTTCACAACTCCATCCAAACATCATACTCAAACTACCACGTTGAAAACTAATTTGAAAACGGTTCCAAACAGAGGAATTTTTTCGCATTGTGTAATACGCTTTCGTCTGAGGATCCAAAAGAGAAATGTTCGTAATCATTATCTCATGTTTTTGTTTTTTGATCTCAAGTTCTTTCATTTCGTGCAGTGCTTGAATCTTTTTTTCTTCTCTTTCATCTTTTTTATTTTCTTTCTCAGCAAGGTGTTGGTTAAATGTCTCCAATTGTATGCTCATTTTTTGGACTTCAACTTCAGCCACTTGATTTTTCCGAAATAATTCTTTTGAAGCTTTCCTATCCATAGGCCTTTTACCCTTTGCAGAGACACTACGCTTACCGACAGTTGGATTTGAAAAATCTAAAAATCCCCTAGATGTTGATTTGTGATTATGTATCTATTTTAAGCACTATATAGCAATCCCAATCAAACAATCAAGACAAATCGACACAACGATTTTACGTGAAAAACCACAATTGGACACCTCCAATTGTGATAAAAAATCACGGGCAAAAACCACAAAACAATTCACTAAAAAGACATAAAGGAATTACACAGGTATACTCTCAATTACCTAGCGAATCCACGCCCGAATTGAACCAACCCCTATGTGCTTCTTCCAGCCCCGTCTTCACCTCGGAATTGTTTTGACGATGAGCCACTCTAGAATCCACCAAAGCTTCAAGCTCGAATTCTTCAGAATCCACCGAAGAACAACTCTCTCTTTTGTATAGAATAAACAAACAATCTTTTGATGTATTCTTCTTAAACCATGAATTGAATACTCAATGAAACATCAAAGAAAACTAGCAAAATAGCCTCAGATATAAACCCTAGAATCCAAGAAGAAGATCTGGAGGCGTTACCTTAGATTTGGAGCAACTTGCAAATTTATAGAATCTGAAATCGCGAGGTCCGCTCGAGCGTAGAAATGGACGCTCGAGCGGGGACACTATATGATGTGTTCCAAATCAGGATGTACGCTCGAGCGGGGATTTTGAAGCTCGAGCGTGAAAACACGAATCACAGTATTTTTGCAGACACGCATACTTCTGGAACTCACTATTCTCCGTTCGAGTGGGGGAAATAGACGCTCGAGCGGAGAGGCAACTTTAAATGCATTTTTGCATTTTGCTTCGCAATCCCAATCAAACAATCAAGACAAATCGACACAACGATTTTACGTGGAAAAACCACAATTGGACACCTCCAATTGTGATAAAAAATCACGGGCAAAAACCACAAAACAATTCACTAAAAAGATATAAAGGAATTACACAGGTATACTCTCAATTACCTAGCGAATCCGCGCCCGAATTGAACCAACCCCTATGTGCTTCTTCCAGCTCCGTCTTCACCTCGGAATTGTCTTGACTATGAGCCACTCTAAAATCCACCAAAACTTCAGACTCGAATTCTTCAGAACCCACCGAAGAACAACTCTCTCTTTTGTATAGAATAAACAAACAATCTTTTGATGTATTCTTCTTAAACCATGAATTGAATACTCAATGAAACATCAAAGAAAACTAGCAAAATAGCCTCAGATATAAACCCTAGAATCCAAGAAGAAGATCTGGAGGCGTTACCTTAGATTTGGAGCAACTTGCGAATTTATAGAATCTGAAATCGCGAGGTCTGCTCGAGCGTAGAAATGGACGCTCGAGAGGGGACACTATATGATGTGTTCCAAATCAGGATGTACGCTCGAGCGGGGATTTTGAAGCTCGAGCGTGAAAACACGAATCACAGTATTTTTGCAGACACGCATACTTCTGGAACTCACTATTCTCCGTTCGAGTGGGGGAAATAGACGCTCGAGCGGAGAGGCAACTTTAAATGCATTTTTGCATTTTGCTTCGGGGGCGCTGCCCCTTGACCCCGCCAAGGGGCGCTGCCCCCTGGAACCCTGCGAGCTGACCGAGCAGCTCGATTCCCGTCATAGTCAGCGAAGTGGTAATCTTGAAAGAATTAAACAGCACAAACTTCTTTGCAAAGCACGATTCGGGTTGGATTCGCATCTAATAAACTCATAGCCTCACTAAAATAAAAGTGTGAAAATAAATACAACTGAAAGGAGTTTTGTCAAACGGGATTGCCAAGAATAAAAACCTAACAGGATTGTTACCAACACTTGGACTAGTGTCATCTTCAAGAGAAATGCAGTTATCCATAGGGGAATCGAGGTCTGAATCAGGGGAAAGCGGTGTATGTATCCTTGACTTCACTGTATTTGTAGGAGCTACATCTTGCCACCTGATATTGTTTTGCAAGATTAACCAACAATGTTCAAAAGCAAAATGTTTCTTTTCATCTTGATGGTATAAAAGTTTTGCTTGAAGCATCTGTATTAATAAAATATTAAATTAAGTAATTATTTAATTTTTATATGAGACGAAATTAAAAAAAAAAAACTAACGTAATAAATAAAGATGAAATCTTACTAGATCAACTTGAGACATCCCACTTGGGTGTAGATTTTCGACTTGCACTAAACATCCACGAAATTTGTTGGAACATTTCATGATTGTACCCCATCGAGATTGGATAAAAACTTGTGTTCTTGACTGATCATTCTGAAGGGAGCAATAATTGTCATAAGTTCTCCCCCAAAAGTGAGCATAAGATTGTGAATTGCCAACAATTGGGTCTTTAGAAATGTGACGCCAAGTTTTACAAAGTGCCATATCTTCAGCAATGGTGAATGATTTTCCTCTCTTTATTTTTGATGAACCTTCTATACCGATTCTGTAAAGAAAATATAAATAAAAATGTAATTTAGAAAGTTTGTTGTGAAATGAAATTGAGCAAAAAGAGATGAGAAAATGTTTGTACTTATAGAATAGAAAAGGAGCTATTTTTTTATAGCCTTTTTAACATAAAAATATGACCGTTTTATAGCCGTTGTGAATATGTTTCACTTATGTTTTTATTTAATTTTTATTTTTTTAATGAATAAAGTAGCACACTTGGATCTTAGCCATTGGATTGTTATTAATCAACGGCTGAGATCAATCATCTGTCTGTGTGTCTTTATTCTCTTATCTTTGTGTCTCTGCCCATTGAATAAAATAGCACACTTTGCTCCGTTTGTGTCTTAATCCTCTCATCTCTCTTCATCACTCTCTTCCATCACTCTGTGTGTCTCTATCCATTCATCTCACCGTCTTTGTCTGTCTCCCTAGTTCTCACATTCTCTCTCCCCCTATTTCTCGGATTAGTGAAGATCAAAGAGAGAGAGAGAGAGAGCTTCAGATCAACTTCATCATTCTCTTCAGATCAGTGAAGATGAGAGAGAGAGAGAGAGCTTTGGATAAACTTCATCTTTGTCTTTGGATCTTTGAGATTCGGATGAACTTCATCTTCGGATTAATGATTTTCAGATCGATGAGACTTTCTCTCATCTTTATCTTCGAATCGATGAAACTTTCTCTCATTTTCATCTTCGGATCAACCTTCTCTCATCTACCCCCCATCTTCTCTCATCTGAAGTTGTCTCTCTCTCTCTCTCTCTCTCTCTCTCTCTCTCTCTCTTTCTCTTCTTCTCCAGAACCACCACTAGATCGTCCACCTATCCATATCCCTCGAAGCCCTAACCCCCCCATCAACCTATCCTTCGAAGCCCTAGCCTCCATCTT